TTCAATCAGCAACATAATATCAAAAGAAGTAACAAGTGGAAGAATTTATCTCTCTTTTGATATAGTACTAAGGGTAGCGTAGCATGAGTAGGGAAGGAGAAGCTGCAGAAAAGTGCAAATACAGTGTGGTGAATTTTTTTTCTAGTGGGTGCATGCACTTGTCAGAGAGAGACAAAGGCAGAGGGAGGGAGAAAGCAACCCCAGTGGCGTGGCATAGTTATGCCATAACCTCTCCTACATTTCTTCTGTCACTGGTGGGACACACATGTGCCCAGTGTTTTTTAAGCCAAAGGGCCAGGATTTGAACTGTGGTCAGTCATGTGGGAACCAGCTCACTTAACCACTAGTCGACCAAAAGGTCCCAGTGTGGTGAAATTTAACAACAGATACAAAGGAATTATAATTTTACCTCTGTCAATTAAACCAAAGATCTATTTCATATTGAAACTCTAGATTCTGAGTTACCTCTCTGGGCATCTGAGTAGACTGAGAGTGGATCTATTTATCTATCTTTCTTTCTTTAGAATTTTAACTTCATTCATTCATTCATTTATTTTAATTTGACCAGAGAGGGACAGAGTGAGAGAGAGGAAAGTGAGAAAGCAAGCTACTAGGTCTGGGACTTGAACTGCGATCAGCCATGTGGGAGTCCACCACCCTCAACCACCATGACACCTGCCGGCCCTTCTTTCAGTTTTTTAGAGAGATTTTTGTGGCATGTGCTCCAAAGAGACAGAGATAGAAAGCAAAAAAATAAATAAATAAAATCACTCCCAAGAAGGGATGGCCACACTGCAACCCTTCTCTTCCTTTCTTCTCTGAGATTTTGGGCATGTGCACTCACCCGGTGTTGAGTGTCAAGCCATGGGGTCCAGGACTCGAATTGCAATCAACTATGTAGCAATATAACCACTACATCTGCTAGTCCCAAGAGAGTGGACCCTTTTTAATCATTCAGTGAGTATTGCTAACTAACTGCTACACCTGAGGCACAGCATAAGCTGCAGGCCACCACCATGCAATCAGTCAACAGCAGCCCACCAAGGAAAGTCAATGATTTTCCATAAGTAATAACTGCCTCTCTGCAGTTCTTCAGCACAATAGATAGCTGGCTAGATAGAAACACTTTATTTATAGCCAGATAGCTTTTCAATTCATCCCTATCAGATGAGGCTACAGTTCTCTAGAAAATATAGGTATTTAAAAAGTTCAATGTGGAGACTGGCAAGTGGCATAGTGGTTAAGGGCGCTGGACTCCCACATGGCCAACTATGGTTCGAGTCCGTGGCTTGCTTTCTCAATTTTCTTCTCTCTTTCTCCTTCTTTCACTCTGTCCCTTTCTGGTCGAATTAAATAAAGTTAAACAGAATAATTCTTTTTTAAAAAAAGTTCAATGTGATTGATGAGAAGAAACAATTGTAAACTCTCTATTTATTCTTAGGGAGATTCCTAAAACTACTTATCAACTATTTATCAAAAAGACGATTTATCGGCACCAGCAACTGGTGTAATGGCTATGTCACTGGACTTAGTTGGCCAACCATAGTTGGCCACGGTTCAAGTCCCAGACCCGGTGGCTTAAACTCATGCCGCCGGGTGCATGTGCGGGCGTGACCAAGATCCCGAGAGGAGAATGAAGGAGTAGGGATTGCTGTGTGGCCATCCCCCCCCCACTGCCCGCCACCCGGGGGGGAGGTGAATTCTTGCTTTCTGTCTCTCTGTCTCTGTCTTTCTTTCTGGCGAACGCAGGCGCCCTATAGCAAAAACCTCTCCAAAAAACAACAAAAAGAGACGATTTATCAGTGGGCATAGTGCAAGACTCATTAACAATATGTAGTAACAACTTGAAACACAACCCCCATGCAAAGTTCAAGTCAAATGCATATATTAAATACCTAAGAATAGGATGAACATAGATTTGTTCTCCAAATCCTAGAATACACAAATAGGAAGCTAAACCTTAGCATGTGAGAAGTTTAAGGAACAGGAAAAGATAAGCATATCAAAGAGTGAAAAGAGCATTGCACAGGGCAATATGACCTGGATTCTGGTTTTAACTCATCCCGAGTATGCAAATTCTGAAAAGCTGCAGGATGTTTCTCAGCCTTGGTTTACTGTCTGTAAAAAGTTGAACTTCTAGTACTTAACAGTTATAATTACCACATGGAACTGCTTCTAGAAACTAAATAGGTAGTCAGATTTGAGGAATAAGAAAATGCAGAAAAGGCAATAAATTGTCCTAATATTTCTGATACATGTTCTTCTCTACTCTGAGTGGCTTCTTTTTTTTTAAATAAATCCCAAAACATACAGCCAACTGATTTTTTTTTTTTTTTGTGGAGAGGTTTTCGCTATAGGGCGCGTGCGCTCACCAGACAGACAGAGAGACAGAAAGCGAGAAATCACCCCCCGGGGGGATGGTCACACCGCAATCCCTTCTCCTCCATTCTCCTCTCGGGATCTTGGGCATGCACGCACACGTGCCCGGCGTGATTTAAGCCACCGGGTCCGAGACGCGAACCGTGGTCGACTACGTGGGAGTCCAGCGACATAGCTATTACACTAACTGCTGGTTCCCTAAGAGTGGCTTCTATTCCCTTTATGGAAGAGCAGCACAGAACAGAGGATTTTGTAATCCAGAGGTCAAGTCTACTACTTTTGAAGTAGTGGGTCTTAAAGAGAAACAAAATAGCAAGAATGCTTCTAGTGTTAGACTTTCCTAAAGGGGGACAGAAGACAAACAAGGTGCCTGTCCTTATCAGCCAAGAAATATCATAATAGAATGCTTTCAGCTCAGTATTCCCATCTACCTGTATTCCCCTGACACTGGAGCACCATAGAAACACTGAGATAGAATTCCCACAAGTAAAGGATCCTTTTCAGCAGCTCTGCCAGGGGATATTTAAGTCTTCAGTGAACTGGATGAGCCCTTTGGAATCTGAAGGGCTCATAAGTTTATTTAAAATGGGTGCCTATAAGTAAAAAGTCATTTTCCCTTACCATTAATATCGAGTAATATCCATTTGGTATAAATGTATATGAAAAGCAGAGACTCTTTTCCTACAACGATGAATATTTTAAATGTTCTGATTGTGGGGACCAGCAGTTAGCATAATGGCTAGGTCGCTGGACTCCCATGTATGTAGTCGACCGCGGTTCGCGTCCTGGCCCTGGTGGCTTAAAACTCACTCTGGGGGCGTGTACCTGCGTGCCCAGAATCCCGAGGGGAGGAGAATGGAGGAGAAGGGATTGCAGCATGGCCATCCCTCCTGGGGGTGATTTCTTGCTTTCTGTCTCTCTGTCTCTGTCTGGTGAGCCCTATGTGCCCTATAGCAAAAATCTCTCAAAAAAAAAAAAAAAAGTTGTGATTGTGTATTTTCCTTTTTTTTTTTTTTTATAACCCTCCTGAAGACAGGATACTTTATTGGTCATTTTATACTACACCTGTAGTGTCTAGCATGCAGTTGGGTACCCGTTATATGTGGGTACCCAACTGTGTCTATTGCATGTAATGTGCCCCAATGTGAAAGAAAACATCAGGAGCCTTCTTTATTTTCAAGGAGACTAGGGCCTTATTGAGGAGATAACTGAGTATTTTCCCTTTTAGTAGTTACATTGCTTTGCTCTTTCTTCACATACAAGCATGATGTTAGAGAGTACTTGGATCTAGTTTATTCCTAAAAGAGAAATGTGGTTGTGGCTCCACCTGAGGAGTATTTAATACAATGATTTTACTTTAAAGAAACTTCAACACTAAGTTCCTGAGGAAAAGGCTTTATTTAGATCTTTGGGTTTCATCTGCTTCAGTTAAAAAAGTGTATTTATTCTTGCACCTGAATGTCTGGCGTGTTGATGATAACACACAAACACTATGAATAAATGGATGAATGGCTAGCTAAATGTAACAAAGTTTTTTTGAAAGATTTTTGTGTCAGAAATAATAAGCAAATAAAAGAAGCAATTTGAAAGATATCTTTTCAGAGAGTAACAAATTATTTTATATGCTACATATTCCCATCCCAGAAAGGCCACTTGTGCTCTGAATAAAGACAAAATGGACATATGTCCAAGTAACACTCTCATTTATCTAAGACCTGTGCAGAAAGCAGCCTGGTTCCCTGGAGCCTGATTAGACTTGATCAGAATCACCCAGAGCCATATCCACATCATAAAAATCGCCAAATTCAAGTCCTCAGTGAATATCTTAGAGTAGGTATGATCCATTCATTCAGAGAAATGGGAAATCACTTTTACCAAGAGCACATGGTTGGACATAGTGGTGTGATTCTACTAAGCACCCTTAGAAAGTGGCTCTATACAGCTCTCCTTTGATAAACCCTGTGGCTCTCCATCCCTCCAAGATTACCACTTCTTCCACTTGGGGCCCCAAGGCCTGTTCTAGAGCCAATCTGACACTTTTCCACGCTCTGGGAGCCTGGGCCTCCACCACACCCTATCTCAGCCAGATTTCCACTCCTACTGATAAACAGAAGTCCGTGAGATGACAAACCAAAGCTTAGACCCTAATTACTCCTGTTCCCCTCATCTCAGAAACTAGTGTCCACACCACTCTTGGATTCTCAGGAACTCACTCCTTTTGCCTGGAACGCCTGGCCCTTGCGCTGACCTCTCAGCTTCCATGGCTCCAACTAGCTTAGTTCGCTCTGACCCTTTCCTGTTCCCGGCGTTGGGGTCCCGGCTGCTCACACAACCTGCTTCCTTGTCTGTAAGATCCCTGGAGGTTGGGAGGAGGAGACACCTAAGAGACCTTCGGGGACCTAACATCCCCCGACCCTCACACTTCCACTTGCCCACGCCCCAAACTCCGGGTCTCCACGACCACCTCGGCCGCCCCCCGAGCACTCCTGCCCGGGCCGGCTCCCCCAGCCCCAGCTTCCGGACTCTGCCTTCAGCTCTGCTTCCTGCCTCCGGCCTCGCTCACGGCGTGGCGTCCGCGCCCCGCGCCCAGCCCTCCGCGCCCCTCGCCGGCGGGCTCTCACCGCTCGAAGAGCAGCCTCACGGAAAAGACGCCCGCCGCCAGCGGAAACACCGAGAGGATGTGCCGGGCGCGCGGGGAGCCGGAGGC